TATAAATAAAAAGAGCCACAAATTGTAAGTTAATTACTTGGCCTTTTTCAAGGATCATAGTGCAATATTAATGTTAAATGTCTAGCTGTTTAAGAAATTATTTAAATATTTTTAATAAATTTTTTATATGTTAATTTTTTTAAAGTATTTTAATTTTTAATTGTTATTGTTGATATTTTTATTATTAAAATATTTTGATTTTTTTTTTCAATTTTTTTATGAATACTATTATTATTATTATTTTACTTGCCCATTTCGGTGATACTCTGCTATTTCCCTCTTCCCTGAAAATATGAAATTTTGGATTGCAATTATTGTTCTACTTAACATTGAAGTCCTACTGCTGCAAGGAATTCTAATAGGAAACAAATAAGGAAGCTTGATTTATTTATAAAAAGCCTAGTTAGATTTGGATTATGATTGTAATAATATTTATACAAACCTCATTCTCATAATTCTATATATTGTACTCAGGTAGAATTATCCTAGGAGTTTCGTGATTTTTCCCTTAGGATTTTCCTCTTGCTACTTTTGATCGTGATTTTTCCCTTAGGATTTTCTTCTTGGTACTTTTGATGCGTTATCATCTTTGTAGCTATTATTTCAAATGGAGTCGCAATCAACATTGGGTGAGTCAAATTCAACGGAAGGTTTTGTTGACAGATTCAGCAGTCTTCCAGACGACATAGCACATCATCTTCTTAGTTTCCTCGACGTGGCAGACCTTGTTTCTTTAATGCTACTCTCCAAAAGACTTTACTCCTTGTGCATGTCCGTTCCTATTTTGTCTGTTGATAACAGGAAACATTTAAAGTCGAAAGATCGCTATGAATGTTTTGTTGGGAAATTCTTGGCTCTTCGACAAAATACTGGGACAAAGGTTCATAAGCTTAAATTTACCTGGCAATTCCTTAGGGACTTGGAGCTTTCTCAAAATGAGTTGCATAGACTTGTTTCATACTGTATTAGAACCGTCTTGTGTTGTGGCACTCAGTCTCTTTGTTTGGGTTTCGTTTCATATGAGGGAAAGCCTCAACATCTTCCTCCTCCATTCTTCTATCTTACTCAAACCTTAAGGGAGCTTATGCTACGCACCAACAATTGCAGTCTCCACATTTCTCCAACGTCACCTTTTCAACCCCCTATGCTAGAAAAGCTAACAATTCAGCTTAGCAAACTCACTGAAAGAGAAATTCAAAATTTAGTTATGGCTCTACCTTCGCTCAAGTCATTGTTCTTTCTATTTTGTACTGGGATAAAGACTCTGACCATCAATAGCTCATCTCTCAAGCTTTTAAAGATCATCAATCGCACCGCGGTTGAGCGCGAGCTCCATACTGTTTCCATCAGTTGTCCTCATCTTCAAAAACTGCATATAGAATGGATTCCTTCTCTTAAGGTTGTTCCTCTATTCAACATACTTCCATCGAATGAACTCAAAGAGTTTTTTTGGCGTGGTTTACCTCTGGGATCATAGTTGTCTTCAAGGTCCGTCCATATGCAAAGCGCTACAGTTTTTCTTGCGCATCCTCCAACACTGTTCCCATGGGAGTTATCTCAAGCTTCCAAGCCCTTGCTGGATATGCTAATTAGTCAGTTAAGCATGACCAAATCCCTAACATTGTATTATGACACCATACAGGTATGTCTGCACTAAATAAAAACAGACTTTGGTCAGATCTACAAATTCTGGTCGTTTATTATATGCATCTTTTTCTGCTCTCATGTGCGCGCACCCATACACACACACACGAGGACATGTACACGGATGCATGATGTATTGTATAGCAAGTCAATAGGATTATCGTCAAAGGCACACAACAAAGAAGTTGAATTAATGTGATACTTAATGTCACTTCTTCCTTTGATAATTTCATCGTATGTTTTCTTTATATATGGTTAAATATGCTTAAGGCATTGATTAATCCTTTCATCTGTAATATTTTGTTTTTGATGTCACAGCTTTTCCGCATATGTAAATGCTCATTATCTCCGTTAAGCAAAGTAGAGAGCCTCAGCTTAGATTGCTGCTTTATAAGTGATATAGATCTGCCAGTAATTTCCTTCTTTCTGAGGGGACTGCTACATTTGAAGTCTCTATGTATAGAATCATCAAGTGCCTCAAAAGAATCGGTATTATTTGTAGCTTTCTATGTCCCCTCCTCCCTTGAAGTCAAAACTCTCACACATTACAATTTGACCTTTTTTTTTTTTTTTTTTGAAGGTGGAAAAAGTTAGGGAAAATTGTACCCCGTTTGGAGGGTATAAAGTGGAATACTGGGAGACACAAGATCTCAAGTTTGTTCCTCAACTGAAGATGGCAACCATTGAAGTTTGTGGAGAAGGAAACGGATTAGAACTTGTAAAGTATCTACTCAAGCATGCAACGGCTTTGGAAACGTTGAACATCCTTTGCTTTCCAGCTTTGGAATTGAGTATCTTGGAGCAGATAATGCAGTATAAAAGTAATCAATCCACCATGATTTTTTTCACCTCAATATTTCAGCAAAGAAAGTTAAAGTTTGATTATCGGAAAAATTTAATGCTCGATCGTTAGATACTGGAAATATTTAGTGACTTGAAGTCACCAAGCTCTCCTGTGTTTATGATGTTCTACAGAATTACCCCTACAAGTTGTGCATTTTCCAGTCTCTAGACGTTTTTGAGCAGAAATTGTGAAGTGCAATGTCACTTTTAACTTTGCAATCCGAATAGCACCAAAAAGCAAAACATGCTCGGAATATCAGAAGGCCCCTCTTAGTCATTGACTGTGTCTTGCAGTTCTTGTTTAATTATTTATGTGATGAGATCTTTTTAATTTTAAGCAACCTCAGTTTTCTGTGAACTAAGACATGAGAAGTACTGTAAGTAATTCATCATTCTTTCCAAGTAATTATCAACTGAAAGTTGTGGGAGAGTCTTAATTTATTTAATTGAGGAAGACAGGAGTGGCGGTTGCTGGTAGACCAATTCAAAGTTCTTTCAAACCTCTGTTTTTCGTTTGGGATGTTGCTAAAAATGGCGCCGAATCAACTAACATTTTCCCCCGAAGATCGGCAGCAAAGCCCCACTCCGGCTATCAATCCCTGATTTTAGAACCCTACAAATCACTATTATTAATCTCCATTTTCCTCTTTCAATCTCCTTTGTTAGTCCCTTCTAACCCAGGAGGGATATGGAGATAGAAAAGAAACCCAAATTTCATCCTGTCTTTCTTTTTCTATCTTCACCCATGGCAATCCTCCTGGTCCTCCTCTTCGCATCCTCCTCATCCTTCATCTCCACCGTCTCCTCTGCCTCTACTCCTCCCTTCTCCCCCCAGGACAACGTCCTTATTGACTGTGGTGCCAAGTCCCCTGCCACCCTCCCCGATGGAAGATCCTTCAAGACTGAAGACCAAACCACCGAATTCTTAAAAACCAAGGATGACATCCAAGTCTCCATCCCTTCCGCTGATGTTCCCTCCCCAATTTACCTCACGGCCAGGATTTTCGTCGAGCAGGCAACCTATGCATTTCATTTGACTCGTCCCGGATTCCATTGGGTTCGTCTCCATTTCTTTGCACTCAAGAACAATGAATTTGATCTTCAACAGGCCACATTTTCTGTCACCACAGACAGATACGTTCTGCTTCATAATTTTAAGGTTAATAATAACACCAATGCAATACTCAAGGAGTACCTCCTCAACGTAACCGAACCCCAATTATCAATCAATTTCATTCCAATGAAGAACTCAGCCGCTTTCATTAATGCCATTGAAGTAGTTTCTGCCCCAGATAACTTGATTTCCAATCAGGGTACATCTCTGTTTCCTGTAAACAGCTTTTCCGGATTATCCGAGTTTGGGTACCATGTAGTCCACCGGCTCAACATGGGAGGTCCCCTGATTACATCGCAGAATGATACCCTGGGAAGGACTTGGGTTCCTGATTCGGATTTTCTCAAAGACAAGAATTTGGCAAAGAATTTCTCTGTTGCGACAAATGTGGTGAAATACACTGATATTCTGACGCCAATTATTGCACCGGCGACGGTTTACTCTTCCCTGACAGAGATGGCCGATGCACAAACAATGCAACCCAATTTCAATGTGACCTGGAAATTTGATGTGGATACAGCATTTGATTATGTTCTTCGAATGCATTTCTGTGACATTGTGAGCAAATCCCTGAATGATCTCTACTTCAATGTATACATCAATGAAAAAATGGCAATTTCCGGGTTGGATTTATCTTCCCTCACTGGAGAATTGGGGTTTCCATACTATAAAGATATAGTCGTGAACGCCTCCACCATGTCGGATGGGCTCTCCGTTCAGATTGGACCCATGAATGAGAAAACGGGAACAGTTAACGCGATTCTAAATGGGTTGGAGGTGTTGAAGATGAGCAATTCGGTGGATAGTTTGGACGGAGAGTTCGGCGTTGACGGAACCAAGGCCGGATTGGGAACCAAGGGCACGGTAGCGGCGGTCGGGTTCGCGATGATGTTCGGTGCCTTCGTGGGTCTCGGTGCGATGGTAATCAAGTGGAAGAGAAGACCCCAAGATTGGCAAAAGAGGAACAGCTTCTCCTCCTGGTTACTGCCGCTGCAAGCCGGCGACAGTAGTTTCATGGCGAGCAAGACCTCCGGTTCCCATAAGAGCAATTTCTATTCATCCACATTGGGGTTGGGTCGGTACTTTTCGTTTGCGGAATTGCAAGAAGCAACAAAAAATTTTGATTCCAGTGCGATTATCGGTGTCGGAGGATTTGGGAATGTGTATCTGGGTACAATCGACGACGGAACCAAAGTCGCTATCAAGAGGGGAAACCCACAATCGGAACAGGGGATTACAGAGTTCCAAACGGAGATCCAGATGCTGTCAAAGCTCCGGCACCGGCATTTGGTGTCCTTGATTGGATACTGTGATGAGAATAATGAAATGATTCTGGTCTATGAATACATGTCAAACGGACCGTTCAGGGATCACCTGTACGGCAAGAATCTGCCACCTTTGTCGTGGAAGCAGAGGCTGGAGATCACTATTGGAGCGGCGCGTGGGCTACACTATCTTCACACCGGAACTGCCCAGGGGATCATCCACCGCGACGTTAAGACAACCAACATCTTGCTTGACGACGCCTTTGTTGCCAAGGTGGCTGATTTCGGGCTGTCTAAGGATGCTCCGATGGGGCAGAATCATGTTAGTACCGCGGTGAAGGGGAGTTTTGGGTACTTGGATCCTGAGTACTTCAGGCTACAGCAATTGACGGATAAATCCGATGTGTACTCATTTGGGGTTGTGCTGCTCGAGGTGCTGTGTGCTCGGCCGGCGATTAACCCACAGCTGCCGCGAGAGCAGGTGAATTTAGCTGAATGGGCAATGCAGTGGAAGAGGAAAGGATTACTTGAAAAGATCATTGATCCCCATCTAGTGGGGAATATCAACCCAGAATCCATGAAGAAGTTCGGCGAGGCGGCGGAGAAGTGCCTGGCGGATCACGGCGTTGACAGGCCAACAATGGGAGATGTCCTGTGGAACTTGGAGTATGCCCTTCAGCTCCAAGAAGCATTCACACAAGGAGAATCAGAGGATGAAGCTAAAGCACCATCTGCCACCGTCGCCTCCCCTGTTCCTGTGGCTTTGCTTCCCACCTCTCCTTCCTCCGACAACCGTCCAATTTCTAACCGAGAGGAGAACAGTGCCCCGGCTCAAGTTCAGGCCATTGATGGCCACTCAGGCACTGCAGTATGTTCACAATTTACCGGGCTAAATGGCCGGTGAGGAAGGCATTGCTGCAGAAGTTAAAACGGCGGATGTAGCAACTATTTCAATGGATTGAATTGCGGGAAATTGCCTGAAAAAATTGCCATAAAAAAAATGTTGATATAAACAGCAAATGTTAATGCAGACTCTTCTTGCTGGTTGTTCTTGTATATTTGTGTGGGTATGGTTTCATAGTCAGAGTATACAGTATGATTACTGTACTGTTATACAGATACTTCTAAACATGAAATTACTATTATACAAAAGATACAGAATACCAGTTTTGTAATTTTTAGTTAGAGGTTAAATCCAAGTAGTTGCAAATTGGAGTAAGCTGCCGCTGTTGTCAGCACCTCTGATTGTATGATTACTAAAATGCAATGCAAACCTATGCATTCTCATTGCGAGCTGCAGTGAAAAATGTAAACTTTACTCAGTTACATAGTGAGATGGATTATTCTTTCAATATGCAGAATGCAAGACGAAACTGCTAAATTCTAGGAAAACTGGATGTGATTACTGTACTGTTATACAGATAATCCTAAACATGAAATTACCGTTATACAAAAGACACAGAATACCAGTTTTGTAATTCTTAGTTTAAGGTTGAATTCAAGTAGTTGCAAATCTCTGATTGTATGATCCTAACTAGAAAATGCAATGCAAATTTATGCATTCTCATTGCAATTGCAGTGAAAAATGTAAACTTGGTTATATAGTGAGAGGGATCATTCTTTCAAGATGCAGAATGCAGGATGGAACTGATAAATTCTAGGAAGAGTGGAAGTAATAATGGACATGTTAATTTTTAGATACCATGTTTCAGGACTTAATCTACGTGAACTTTGCTGAATTTTCTAATTTCTTGCAGGCAAGATGGTGTCTTCTTGTGGAGAGCATCAATCATGTGTTTATTAGGTGCGATGAAGTTCAGAAATTATGGAAAAGATGTGACAAATGGCGTGGCCTCGAATATGTTTTGCCACATTCAATTTTAGCGTTTATGAGCTCCATTCAGTGGCAATGCTCAAACAGGGTTAGATATTCATGGTCCATTTGGTACACAACAAAATCTATTGGTTTTAATTCAGCAACTTGGGAGGAGGATTCTATCTTCGAATTATATAATTTATAGTGGGAAGATTCCTTTGCATGGTTGAAAGGAAGAGAGGGGAAGGTACCACCTTTGCATATCATCATGGCTGGTGCATATTTCTAGAGCTGTGTTCAGGATTTGTAACCTTTCCTGAAGTTTCTGTTTTATGTGGGAAGCGAGCAAACTGCTGGAGGTGTGGTGAGTGCAAATTGTATCAGTTAGTGATTCGCTGCACGCATTCTTGTAAGGGCTTTAAATATTATTTTCTCGCAGATGTAAGTATTAGAATACTCCTTATATTTCCATTAATAAAGCTTTTCTTTTTTTATTAATAAAGTTGATTCATTGAAAATAAAGAAAACGATGGCATCTCCCTCTACGCGTGTAACTAAGTTGTAAAGAGGATCTTCTTCAACTATTGTACAGTAAATCTATGAGCCTTCTCTAAAGACAATAGCATGACCTAAGATATTAGGTTCTAGATTTGACACCTGTGTCCGGAGGACAAAGCAATGAGATAGGATAAACTGCATTTACATAGCCTAAAAATTCTTAGGTTCTAGATTTGACACCAGTGTCCGGAGGACAAAGCAATGAGAGAGGATAAACTGCATTTACATAGCCTAAAAATCAAAATCAGAAGAATACCGAGGTCAATGCAGGAGTCTAGTCTTGCAAGGGAGAAGGGATGGCCTCGGAGGCAATGAACTAAATTGTGGCCTTGTGGGCCTATGCACTAAATTTAGGTCAAAGAAACCTACCTAAGAGACTTGCCCTATTGAGATCTATTGATTTGGATGGCAGAGAATAATCAGGGACAATTTTATCCAGGGAATGGAATCAATTCTCTTTATTTGGCATTGGGGGTTTGAAAAGTAAAAGGAGAAGATGCCTAGGAAAAGGGTCGGCCATTGAATGAACAAGAGGGAGTCTAGAAAACGATGTGGATATCTGTTTGTGTCTTGCCTTCCTCGATCCAAAAAATCCTGGAATGCAGTTTTTTAAGGCTCTAAACTGCCAACCCCAATTTATGCTATTTGACTGTTAAATCCCATCAACTGTTTTTCAAACAAAAACTTACATATAAATCTTGAAAATCAACAGCATCTCCTTTAGAACCCTATTGAAATGGAGAACGAAACAGAAATGAGCAATTTCGACGTGAGTACGCTAAGGAACAGCCTCCCTCAGAAGTAAGAATACAGTGATTATTTATCTTTTTCCTTTCAAAAGTATCCTGAAAAGATCCATCCTTGTGATTCAACATAGGGGTTGATTTGTGTTCTTCAGGAGAGGATTGTCACGGCATTACTCGGGGAAATCAAGATCGTTTATGTGCATGGCAGATGTGCGTTGCCTTGAAGATCTCAAGAAACAAGAACACCCAGATGCAAAGAAGAGGAAGAAATATACAGACAGGAAAGACATTCATCATCCTTATAATTGTCGAAGAGTATCCAGTAGCAATCAATTTTCCACACCTTACATTGGTGTGTAAATAGCAGAAGTTGAGGCACGCCATTACTCATTTCCAATTTCCTGTTATCAGATGGTGTGCTTACATTCCCAGGCTTGTGTGAAAGATGGCGATCCAGTTCTTTGCGCAGAAATGTTTGAAACAGACTCGAACAAGATTCCTGTCTCGGTCATCCCCGTTTCTCCAATCCATTTCTAATAACCATAGCTTAGAATTACTTGAAATGTACTTAGATCCATAACTGATTTCATTTCAAAAAAATTCGGGTAATTGCAGAGTTACAGTTAGTTAATCTAACTATGAATATCTGCAGAATACACATCTTGTATCTAAAGAGGTGAATCACAATAAACAGAATGGTGATGACAATTAGTGAAATCTAATTACTATGATAATGACAATTATGGGCACCAAAAAGAATCACCATTTTCCCTAACAATACAAAAATTGGAAGTTAAGAAGCCATTTTCAATCAAGGTAAACGAACTATTGTGACCTTTTCTTCTTTGTGAGTGATTCCAAATCATCAGATATGAAAAGGTCATCGTCGTCATCATCATCAAGGCTTTCTGGCTGGTTTTGATTTCCACTCTCAGCAAGGCCTGAACCATCTGAAGTGGTGGGCTTGGAGATATCGGATAGTTTTCTTTTCTTTCCAGTAGCATTTTCAGTTCCCTCCGCCAACAATGCATTTGATGTGCTTCCGCCATTACCAACAAGCTCATTTTTGTTCAGTGTGGACGGTTGAGTCCAGCCAGAGAGAAGCATTCCATCCGGTTCTTTTTCCTCATCAAATTCTTCCCTGCAAGAGTAATACGAAAAGTATGTTCCAGCGGCTTTCCTCATAAAACAAAACAAAGTCCAATTCCATGGAATATTTTTTTACTAGAATGAGTGGAGTTAAAAAAGTCTTGAAAAAAATAACCATAATGATCACAACCCATAATATGAACAATTTGATTAGTTATTTTCTATAATCAAAGCGAAGCAAATCAAAAGTTTACACAATAAACAAACCTGTGCTTGATGTTAATGGTGCAAGAAAACTCCTGTTGTAGATCCTCGATGCTTAGCATGGTTCCACTAGTAACTGGAGAAGGAAGCTCAGAGAGCACCTGAAAGGAAAATAAACCACAATGACTTGACGTTTCGTTCTACCCCTTTCAGAAGGATGATCAAACCCAGTGATTTAAGAATTGACACCAAGAACCGAAAACTAATACTCATAGCACAATAACAACTCATTTTAAACAAAAAGACAATTCTCAAAGGGAATGAAATTAGGGATAAAATCACCTTTTCAAGGTTTGCAGAATAAATTGCTACCATATCAGCATCTAGATCATCACCAACTTCATAAAGAATTTGTGACCCATGCATAATCAATGGAAAGTTCATGCCAAGCTTGGATTTTACAATTTTTTCAACAAAATCACGCAACTTTGAACGGCAAGTATTCACCTCAAGGGACAGTGGGGTCTGTTTTCAACCATATTGCAGATGAGCTTATCATAGGCAAAACAAATATAGAGCGAATTCCACCAAGAAAAGAATTCCAGATATACCTCAGAACAAACATAGCAAGATTTGTTAGGTTCAAAGGGTTCTGCTGGCATGAGAAGCATTTTTCTAGCAGGGTGTTCTAGACAATATGTCATCCTGCATGGGCATCCAAATCAGATTGAAGTCAACCTATCACAAAATACCACAAAAAATATACTTATCTAGCTACACCTAGAAATTTTCCACCTAGCTGTCCTAAAACATAAACGTTGTTATCCTTTTGCAAATACTCAAGTGTCTTTTTTTTTTTCCTTTTTTTTTGGTTCTGGGGGGCACAACAAGTCAACAAGTGCTAAGATTTTAAGACTAAATTAAAATAATGACAGCAATTAACATAAAAAAACAGTCAGCAACTGAGGATGATCCTGAACCATATACTAACTTCACAGTTAAAACCCTGCAATATTCAAAGCTCAAAATTCAAGACTATTGACATCAGTACAAAGCCATGGAACTCGTTTAACCATTATCAGTAGATAGCAACTGTCTAACTTGAAGCAAAGAACCCTCAAACAAAGTAACTATAGATAAATTAAAGTTCAAGCCCCATAATTGGGGCATAAATAGCTCAACAGATTGTAGCTTACTAAAGAAGGTCCACGTTAATTTAAAAAATGAAAACAAAAATCTGCTGAGAAAAAGAGAATGAACCAAACCTGTGATTGTCATTATCCTTTTGCAAGACCTTAATTGCTTCAATCACAATAAGCCCAGCAACAACGGCATTTGTTGTTGCTACAGCATGCACAATATTACCAGCAATACCTTTAGCTTCAAAAAGACTATGTAAAGGAATCCCAAAAGAAGAAGCCCTAATGTTTGCAGCAGCTGTCACAAACTCCACAGCCAACTGATCATCTTTATCAAAAGTCAGGTTTCCTATGTCCTGCCAAATCAATGGTACAAGAAATCCTTGGTTTCAATTGGAAGAAAGAAAATAGATCATCAAAAGAATAATTTTATTAACAAGTTTTCCAAAAGAATGAAGCTAATTATAACCTTTGGTCTGTTCACAAAAAATAATTTCAGAGCCTCAAAGAAAACTTTTGAATTTTCAGCGAGACTCCATACATCCTGAGGATTCTTCAGGCCTAGAGATGCCATTGCAGACAGATCACCATCCTCTCTCATGTTTCCATTCTGCTGAGTTAAATTGCCAGTTGGAACATCCTTAACATAGATTGGCCTTGGTTTGTTACGGTTTTTCCAAGTCTCTTCATTAGATAGAGCTACTTCGATGTTATAACCAAATACATGATCATATATTCTCCTTCCATATTGCTCTACATCTTCATCTTCTCTCTGTTCAAATACATCTTCTGAATGATCTGATGAGCTATGACCATCATTAGAACGCACATTCAGATCATTTTCCTGATTCTTGTCACCAAACAACTTTGCAAAAAGCAGGTCCTTTGCCCACACAATACAGTGAACAAACTGCAATTCAAACAACCTCATTAGAACACTGGCCAAAGAAAATATATATATATATATATATATATTAGAACAAATGACATAGTGATTGCGCTTGGCAACAAATAATTATCCTTGTGTCTAATATTGTTCTAGATTAACATCAAAGTCTAAACTCCATGACCAAAAATCTTAATTTGTGTTATGTTCCTTACAAGCAACCCTAAATGAGACTTATAGCTGCTTATGGCTAATCAGACAAACCATATTCTATTTGTTTTGTTACAAGTTAAGACTCACGGTTCTCAAAGAAAGATTCTTCCTATCTTTTTTTTTTGTGAGCTTTTTTCCCCACAAGTCACTAGCTACTGCTGTCTTAAACCAGAGCTTTTTAGTAAATTCATGAAATCAAATAATGGGATGCCATAAAAGAAGGTAGCATGCCTAACCCTACACAAAGTGGCACTAATACAATTCAGAACCACATCTTCAAAACAAACAGCAAGAGAAACCACCTCTCTTCATCTTCAAAATATCAAGCAGAAAAAAGAAGAGGAAAGGGAAAGTATGAAAGTACCAAATTATAGTCACAATTAAGTACCTTTGATGGAGTGCTAGTAATTGTACAGACAGGATAGGTCTTCGGGGCGGGCTTTGGCTGGCACTCGTAGCACTCTGTTTTCCCCTTCAAGTGTACTGACACCTATATCCATGAGAATCACCACTCAATTAGAAACCTAAAATGATACACACATTCTAGCAACAAGTTCTTTCAACAAGTAACTTTTCAACAGGTAAGTAAGGATCTCAAATATGTTGGTTATAAAACTACAGCAACCAGATAACTTGAGTGAATTTGGGATTGAAAGAACAACAAAAGCATAAGTAAGAGTAATCTGTGACAACAAGCATATGCCCTGAATGGTGGGCAGCTCTTGCAAAAGACATCCGGAACATGAAATTACCTGTCCAAGGAACCCTGTAGTCCCACTTTCAACCAGAGGGACACCAGCTGCCAGGCAAAGGCGGTTCACATGTCGCCTTGCATCCAAGTTATCCAGCCCATTAAGAACAACATTAAATTCCTTAAAGAAATCTACACTGAATTGAGGATCTTTGACATTTGCATGGTAGGACGTAATACTAATAGAAGGCCTAAATTTTAAGACTGCATCCCGAGCAACCTGGTCAACATATTGATGAAAGATAACTTCTAATACCTTATCATAAAGACTACCAAAAATAAAATGCTTGAAATTTGAACTTGCCTTTGCCTTAGACTGTCCAACATGCGATCGTCGAAATAGAAACTGTCTGTTGAGATTGCTGACTTCAATAGTGTCCATGTCAATCTGCAAATATACACAACTAATTGCCTAAAAAAGCACAACCCAATTACCAAAGCCAGTAAATGAGTGGAGGAGCATAAAGATTTTCCAGCACTTTGAAACCATTTTGCCCTCCTACTTCACTGAAATAATACCAGATTGTTGGGTCAAAAATTCAAACTTGGAACCCGATAACAATTAAATGATTACAAACCCCCACGTCAAAGACACCCATTACCCAGAAAAAATAAAAAGAAATGCAAACGAGAAAAGCATGAGGATTTCACTTCCAAAATTGCATACTTACTGCTTAAACCCTAAAGCCCACTCCAGTAAGAGAAAATTCAAATCCCATTAGGAAAAACCAAGTAAAGCTCATAAAAACCCTAGTGAGAAATTAACAACGGAAAAGTACAAAGATGGGAAAACCCATCTCTAATTATTCCAGAAAAAAAATTCATAAGCTCACAATATGAATATCTTGAAACCCAGAAAGGGCAAGGGTCTTCAGAAGCTCGCAGCCAATACCACCAGCACCAACCATAAGCACTTTCGAATTCTGAAATTAAAAAAAAAAAAAAAAGAGAAAAAAAAAAGGCGGAAACTGAGAATAAAGATATACCCACAATAAATTCTACTTCAATTTCTCTTTTTTAACCCTGTTGGCTGTGTTTGAGTACCTTTATAGCAGATAACTGTTGGTCGGAAGCCATTTGCAAAGGGAGAAGGAGAGAAGGAAAGAAGGAGCAACGAAGAGTGAATTAGAAGATGAAGCGTTGGTTGTTAAATAACAAGGAAGTGGGGTTCATGGGGAATCGGACAAGGGACGTGAAAAAAGGGGGGCGGAGACGGGAGAATCTAAATGGGTTGCGACCATGAAAGGGCGGCTAAAGCTGAAGGAGCGCCAAATTAAGCAATCGATTGGAAAAATGGTGTAAATTTCCACGAAATTGATAAAAATATTTGTTTTTTAAATATTTTTTTCTTACTGTAGCAGTTGGGCTGGGCCTATTTATCCTCTTGTGTTTGGAAGCAGAGTTTTGTTTGGCTTTCTTGCGGATAGAGGTTAAACGGGATAGTTTGATTAAGAATATAAGAATGGCAACTTCACCGGAGGGGCGGCAGTCCCGCCGGTGAACGGCGGTGGCTTCCCTATTCTATAGAGAAGGTGGATGAAGAAACCATACCATAAAATTCCGGCTTTTTTTTATATAAATAATTGCAAACTTGTATAATTGTATGTGTTTACATCTATTTTTACAAATTAATTAGAAGAAGCCATGTGTTCCATTTGTTCTAAATTTGAAGAAGTTAATAGTTAATAGCTGAAGATAAATTTGTTCTAAATTTGAAGAAGTTAATAGTTAATAGCTATAGTTTTATCTTCGAATCAGTTTGGACGGTTATTACCACATAGTTAGTAGATTAGTTGGTTTGTTGCAAATCTTTAGCATGTTGCTACTAATTTTCAGGATTTTGTTGCAACTCTACACCTTATTGCTGCTTATTCAAGAGGTTGTTGCAGAATTCACATCGCCATTTGTTTTCAAGATGTTGTTAGTAGAACTTCACCATGCTATAAAGGTGCTATAAATACACGATAATAAGATCAAGCAAGTAGGACATGCCTCTCACACAATTGACCCAACGCTATCTACATTTCAATTTTCTCAAGCAGTATCTTAGTTTACATCTAGTTTTTTCAAACAACTTTCCTAATTTAATCTTTAACTTTACGCTATTACTAGTTTTAGCTCTTGTTTCTATTATTTTGTTTTGAACATCTTCACTGATGTATTTCATTTCCTGCAATTCAATTTACTATACTTTACTCTAAACTCGTATTCCTAATTTCTTTTAAGTTTAGTTTTATATTTGAGTCTTTATTTCATTATTTACGCTTACATCTTTCGTGACGACATCACGCTTCTTTTCTGCAATTAAGTTTTCCTGTCATGCACTTTCTTTCTTCTCTTTTCTTGTATTTTTCTCTTTTATTTTAATCAGCAAACTAACATTTTGGCTATAATTATGGGAAGTCCTTAATGTTTTTCCAAGATAATTATTTATGGATTTTTATGTAGGAATACACCTCTCATTTTTGCGACAATCATCTGATTAGTGTACATCTCATAATTTGCTTAATCGATACTTTTCCATCAATTCGCAACTGAGTTTCATGTTTGGAAGTGATGAGAGTTGTTGAGAATCCCTCTTTCTCATTTTAAGTAAAGTAAGAGGCATACTTTCATAATTTTATCTGTCATGTGGTAGGACAAATAGATTTTAAAGACAATAGCATGTAAAAAAAAAAAAAAAAAGTTGCAAACTTTGGAATTGGGCATCAAGGAGCATGCATTCATGTCACAATTGAAAGTTGACCATTAAATCCTTTTCTTTTTTATGATGATTTTTTTTTTTTTAATGATAAGGAAAACCCATCTTCCTCCAGCACTTTAAAATAACAACTTCAATTATATGCAAATGTTCTAATTAGAAAGGGAAATATGTTTGCATATTTATTAAATTATGAAAGGGACTTTTTCATAAACATTATATGTGATCGTGATTGTAAGGTGGATCATTGATTTATCACCTTTCTCTTTGTGAACATGTATAATCTCATGAGATTAAAATTTTGATCTTCATTTAGTACAATTTGGGTTGGGACATTTGAAACTTTCATTTCTTGAAACATCATTTAACTATTTTCTTGGTGTAGAGATCAAATGATATTATGGTTAACTTAGGTATGGTAGACAAACTATACTCATTTGATTCCATCAAATGCATGTCAAGCGACTTTGAACATTTGGCTGTTAAGGCTTTTATCGACATTTTATTTTTTTTTATTTTTTTTTATCTTCATTGATATAATCTTCTCGGTATGATCAATGATAGGAGTTTATTTTACTGCATTTATATGAGTTGTTGTATTAATTAAAATTACCATCTTAAAATCCAGAACATCTAACACATGATTTGAGTTTTTATGTAGAACAATCTCACAAAATACTAGTCCAACTTCCTTTTTTTTTAATAAATTTAACGTTGTCCCAGCACCTTAAACGAGTTGATTCACACATAATACTAGTCATATGATTCAGATCCACAATTCCACATCATCTTATTTCTTTAGGAAGTAGGTTATCTTATGAAAAAAAATTGTATAAAATTAGCTTTGGGAAAATTTAAATACCATTAATATATTTGAAAAGATTTAAATACCAACTGGTGTTTTATGATTTATTAAAAATATTTTAAAAAATTTAAAAATATTCATATTAAGCTTTTTCTTCGAGGTTTCATGTAAAATATTTTTAGAATAATAATAAAAAGATAATTTCTTATATAATTTTTATAAATTATTACATAAATAAATACACATAACAAATATTAAGAAGGTTACAAAAAAATTTTCTTTAACATCATTCATATCTTTTTGTTAAAAAAAATTCGAATAACAAATTTTAAGAATTTTTTTTTTTAACGTCCAAACAAAGCAATCAACTAAAGAATCAGTTGCATCAGTCTTTATACCCAATTATTAGATCTCAGGCCTTAAGTGTTTGGATGAAGTGGTCGAAGTTTTGAGTTTCAATACTATTGTAAACTCCACAAAAAAACGATTTGATGACCACGCACATCATTTGAGAGGGTAGGATGTTCACCCGATCTAAGAACCAATTACTAACAACTAATTCATACTAACTTTTTAATCATTACCCTTATAAAAAAAAAAAAAAAAAACAATCAGTCTGCTTACGTGAGATCCGTCTCAATTTCCATTCTCTACTGGGGTATAATAATACTTTTCAACCAACAATAATGGAATGAAAAGATTCTTATTTTTATTAATTAAAATATTAAATTTAAGTTTTATAGATAAAAAAAATAAATATTAAAAATATTTTTTTATAAAATTTAATACGATTTAATTTTAAATTAATTAAAATTTAGTATAATTAGTAAATGTTAAGATATTAATATATGAAAAAAAAAAACCAATGGTACTTCTCAAAAAGAAACAAAATGTAAAAATAAAAACCTCTTCCACGAGTCACGCTACCATTGGTCCACATCACGATGTTGTAATGTGCCATCCATAACTTCATCACAGCCGATCATTTCTCTCAGCGATGCTCTCTGAGCATCTGGGAAATCCCGCACCCCCGCATAAAAGCAGCTTGACCGGGCTGCCCCACACAGGCACACACTCTGTCTCTCTCTCTCTCTCTCCGCCTCCGTCGCCGGAATCGGAGGAGAAGCTGAGCGTTACTCTTCAACTTTCTCAGCTCCAAATTTCAGGTAAATTTCCCATTTTTCGCAAGCATTAGGGTTTTAGTTTGATCCGTTTTCGCAGTAGATGTAAAGCTGCTTCAACATCATTCCTTATTATTATTATTATTATTATTTTTTTTTTTTTTGCGTTGAAGTTGTTTTATTTTTCCTTATCTCAGTCGTTGTTCTTGCAGTTTCTTGCTTCAATTCCACAATCAATGGAGCCTCCAACTCCATTAATGGTTCTTCCGATAAATATCATGCTTTCCTTTAAGATTATTTTCCTCATGTTTTTGTGCTGAAATAGTTTGTTTTCCTTTTCTCTTCCGTTGTTCTTGCAGTTTCTTGCTTCGATTCCGCAACCAATGGAGCCTCCAACTCCATTAATGGTTCTGCCGGCAACTGTCCCGCTTCCGAACGGTATGTGTGTGTATGAACGCAATGCGTCTCTAAATGCAAGGTTTAAGCGTATAAAATAAGTTTCTGATTTTGCATTTCTTGATTCTTTAAAGTACATTCAGTAATCCTTTTGATTTGCAGGTTTTTTTTTTTTCTGCGGTAATTTTGGTATTGCATCTTCTTGCTGATTTTAATAATGTGATTTGTGGAAAATGAACAGCATTTTGTCTCTTCCAATTTTATAACTGGAGTGTGAACTTACTACGTTTTTTATTTTAGTTCCAAAAGAAAAGAAGAGATTTTCTCTTTTGTTACCTGGAAAAGGCAGTTACTTTGATGCACTAGAAACTTTTTCAAAGTTATATGAATTTAATGACAATATGTTTCCTAATGACTCCGGTTTATTTGTGATTTTTTGTGTTTTTTTTACAGAGGTCTGTTCCAGCCAATACAAAAGAAGGAAGCTGCAACGTAATGAAATAGATGGTGGGAGTGTGCCCCTTCGTGCAAATATGCAGGATAAAACTGTTGACAAGAAACCAAAGGTCTCTCTCAAAGTTACAGATTATTCTGATCCTTTTGCAATCTCTAATGTGTTGGAAGCTTTTAACACTGGTGGTAAATATGGGAGTGTTACAAAAGAAATAGAAGCCCTTATTTTGAGGAACACAGAAATGTTGAACCCCTTTCTTGTTATGTATCCGGCTCTCTCAACCATGTTCCCTGATGGGAAAAATGACCTAGAGGAGTTGGAAACTAGACAAACAGCATGTGATAATGTTATTGACTTGGAGGATGACAGTGTTGCAAATCATGTTGCATCAAAAATATCACCTGTTGTGATTCCTGATTCAGATGATGAAGACAGTAGAACAGAAAAGCCGCAATCTACCTTTCAGGAAGTTTCTGTGTGGAAGCCTCCGTCATCTGCTGGGCAATTTCTTGTTAGGGACATAGGAGTAAGTCCTTCTTCTTGTGTAGTTTTCCTGTTTATATTGATTAATATCAAAACATGGATAATGAATTTTGTGCTTTGAGTTTCATGGATAAGGTTTGTAAAGTAAAATAGATGATTTTGTATTTATTTTTTCAAGATCTCTTTTTTTCTTTTTTCAATATTTTTCATGGCTTAGAGATATGTAATTAAAATAGTTTCTTATTTATATATAATGATTCTTAAAATGATTAGTCAAATTCAACTTTCGGTATTAATCCTATGCATGCATACCATATACAATATTTATATCTTCTCATATGTAAGCATAAGTACTTTTTGGATTATGAATCTTTTTGATCTGCTAGGGTAAACACCGTTAAGTAGGCAAAGCCTGAAGCTTCTGTTTGTTTTACTTTTCCTGCATGAGAGAAATGATTTGGATTGTTTGACAGAAACTAAAGATCAATATAAAATATAAATTAGATTTTTCCCTGCTCTTTTAAAATTCTGAAACAACTATCAAACTGTCTGCTCATCCCACATCAACTATGTCTGAGTCAAAGTATTATTATGGAATTTATCCAAATTATCATTTCTGACTTTAATTATGGAAGAATAGGTAACTTTTTGTAAGTTAGCGTTGTCTATTTGATCATAGAACATTAAGTGGTGCAAGGTATGACATTGTGCTCTCAATTAATCCTCACCAAACTCTTAAATCTGCATGAGAGGAAATTACCATAGAACCCACCTCTAAATGATACATGTTTAGTTTTTCCTATTTCAGTTTCTCACTCTTAATCTACCGTATCAATTATGAATAATTGATTGTCAATCAATAAAGAGTGCAAGTGAACCCCCCCCCCTCCCCCCCTTTATGTGTGTTTCAGTGAGTTACATCCATGTTTGTGTTTTCAAAAAGATGGTTTTTCCTCCAAAACTTAGTAGGTTTTCTAGTTTTGATGTCATTTTGATCCATTCCTAAAATGATTGGTATTATTGTCATGTTCAGTTTAGGGAGTATGTGGAGAGCAGAATGTATAGGGAAGAAAAAGTTAATCTCCCAAGTGCAAGTTTCTCTAGTGCATTTGATGCCAGGAGTCTCTCCAGTGCAGTTGATATAAAGAAGGATAAAGGTGATTATCTTGGTGTTGAAGAGGACTTTGATGATCAAACCAGGCCCAAGGATGACGGTTTGGGGGATATTTGGAAGGAAATGACAATGGCGTTAGAGTGTTCTAAGGTATTTTCATTTCATGAGTAATGGGGAACTTCTTTATAGTTTATTACCTTTATTTACTTTTATTTAGGCAAACAGTATGCATTTATTTATTCTTTTAGTGATAACATACTGTGTCAAGCCTCATTCTTCTATGTTCTGGATGCCCACTTTGAAAATGTCTGAGTGGTAGAGACTAGTGAATACGAGGTCTTGTGTTTTCTGAAGAATTTAAAGACAACTAAGAACTGGTGGTGTTGGGTTTTGAATCTTTTGATGATACAATTAATGTTTGATAGAGTTTCTTTAGTATTCAGTAGTGGTATTTTCATTTATTTTCAGTTGGATCTTATTTGGTGTGTTTCAGATCCAGCAGAATTTTGTTCAAGGGATGGTTTGGGAAAATACTCACTAAGCACAAGCAGGATTTGTAATGACAAGCAGTTTATACAGCAGTTCATTTTGGTAGATAACTAGATATTATAAGCTACTTTGAAATTCAGTTTTGATGACTTCTTTTTTTTTTTGGGTGGGGAAGGGCAGACCTTTTTTACGACTTTTAATGTCTACAGATGTAAGACGTGAAGGATTGTGTTGATTATCAGTACTTTACTTTCTCTGATTTTATTCTTGTTATCTGCTTTGTGCACAAGTTATTTTTTGGTGGGGAAGGGGAGACCCTTTTGATGACTTTTAAATTTTAATGTCTACAGACATCAGACATGAAGGATTGTGTTGATTATTGGTACTTTGCTTTCTCTGATTATATTCCTGTTATCTGTGTTGTTCACAAGTTCTTTCTAATTTTTGTTTTGATCCTCAACAATTTTAGCATGTTTTTTATGGTAGAAATGTGCCATCAATATATTTTGGGATGACTGTTGTAAAAAACTTGAAATGAAATAAGACCTAGAAAATGGGGAAACCATCTTCTATGGTTGAACCGACTGTGTTATCATAGTAGTTTGACTGCAGAAAATCCAATCTCTGGTGAAGTTCCTTTTTCATTGATGTGATTATGATGCTTTTTGGCAGGAAGTTTCTGAGGATCCTTCATCTGAGGAACACATGCAAGGAGATGAGGACTGTGATCATTCTTTTGTCTTGAAGGATGATATTGGTTATGTCTGTCGAATTTGTGGGGTCATTGAGAGAGGAATTGAGACCATAATTGACATTCAGTTTAACAAGGTACACCAATGTTTGATCATTCCTTATCCTGTTCTACATTTTGATTTTGCAACTTGATGATGTAAAACTGCTTTTGGTAACATCTATGTTTAATTACAGCATGCTTTGATTGATATTTATTTACATAGTGGAGGCTTTAGAACGCGTGGATATGCTAACAGGCATAAATCTGGAAATTTTATTTTGATTGGAAGAAAATCAACTTGTTTTTCATGTATATCTTAACATATATCAAGTATAAAGACAAATATGCTGTGCATCCACAAAAGTGTAGAACCTGTTTATTAATGGAGCAGATTCTGTTGTTGCCTAAGATTAACCTGTTCGTTATCTGGTATGCTAAAAGTGGAAATGTTTGGGAGACAAACAACCATAATGTATTTTCAGGAAAGAAAAAAAAGAAAAAAGAAAAAAAAACGAAAAGCCTTCATCACTTTGCTGTTATCTTTGTGATGTGATATTTGTATCTCTTTTACAACCGAAAATGTCTGACATAGATTTCTATCGTATCTTGCTGCAAAGTTCTTGTAGATTCTTATTGTCTAGCCACCTACTGTAGTATGGCTTGGGCCTTCGATATTTTTGGCTGCTCTGATGTTACTGCCATTATTATTATTATTATTATTATTATTATTTTGAACAGGTACAATTTGGGGGTAGGGGATTGGAAATTTTTAGCATGGCTGTGCTATGGCTCGAACCCTTGTCATTGCCATTATTGGGTTGCTTTATCTTTACGTGGTTAATTTCCATGTGGTTGATTTGTCATGCATTTGTACTGGTGCTTGATCAGTTGGCCCTAGTCTTCTAGGATTTTTACTGTTATTTGTATTAAATAATGACAGATGGTCCCTTACTAGCTATTCTTTTGACTTTATTTCATACATCTGTGCCTATCTTTTCTGTGAGGTGTGATTGAATCCAGCAAATGTACTGTCAGCTAACTGCCCTGGGTTGGAAATTTTATCATTTTTTAATTTATTTCTATCTGACCCAGGCCAAAAGGAGTACACGTACATATGTATCTGAGCCCCGGAATGCCAAGGACAGAGAGTCAACTAGAGGAATTGGAGTTAAATTGTCTGAAGATGATTTAATGGCAATTGACATCACTGCTCATCCAAGGCATATGAAGCAAATGAAGCCTCATCAGGTGGAGGGCTTTAATTTTCTTTGCAGTAACCTGGTCACTGAGAATCCTGGGGGCTGCATTATGGCACATGCACCTGGATCTGGCAAGACATTTATGATAATTAGTTTTATGCAGAGCTTCCTAGCCAAATATCCACTTGCTAAACCACTGGTTGTGCTTCCTAAAGGTATCTTGGCTACATGGAAAAAGGAGTTTGAAATATGGCAAGTTGAGGATATTCCACTGCTAGATTTTTACTCTGTTAAAGCAGATAATAGAGCTCAGCAATTGGAGGTATTGAAACAGTGGGTTGAGAGGAAGAGTATGCTGTTCCTAGGGTACAAACAGTTCTCTACCATTATTTGTGATGGTGGAACCAGTGACACATCTGTTACATGTCAAGAAATACTGCTCAAGGCACCTACAATTCTGATTTTAGATGAGGGCCACACACCTAGGAATGAGAATACTGATGTGTTGCAATCCCTTGCAAAAGTACAAACGCCTCGAAAAGTTGTACTTTCAGGAACACTCTACCAAAACCATGTCAAAGAGGTATTTAATATTTTGAATCTTGTTCGGCCAAAGTTTCTCAGGATTGATACATCTAGAGCTGTCATTAAGCGGATATTGAGTAAAGTAAATATATCTGGTGTGAGGAAGCAGTTCAAAGCAGGTGCAGATGCAGCCTTTTATGATTTGGTGGAGCACACGCTACAAAAAGATGAAAATTTCGAGAGGAAAGTCTCTGTCATACAAGATCTACGTCAGATGACCACTAAGGTGCTTCACTATTACAAAGGAGATTTCTTAGATGAGCTTCCTGGCCTTGTTGACTTTACCGTAGTACTAAATCTCAGTTCAAGACAGAAGAATGAAGTCCAGAAGTTGAAGAAGTTTCAGAGGAAGTTTAAGATTTGCTCTGTTGGAAGTGCTGTTTATCTCCATCCAAAACTGAATTCTTTCTCTGACAGTTCTGTTGCAACAGATGTTCAAATGGATGAGCTGTTAGAGAAGCTGGATGTAAAAGATGGAGTCAAAGCAAAATTCTTTCTTAACATGTTAAACTTATGTGATTCAGCTGGTGAGAAAATGCTTGTCTTCAGCCAGTACCTCACACCCTTGAAATTTTTGGAGAGACTAGCCATTAAGAGTAAAGGCTGGCATCTAGGTCGTGAAATCTTTCTAATTACAGGCGAATCAACCTCAGATCAAAGAGAATGGTCTATGGATCGCTTCAACAATTCTGCTGATGCTAGAGTTTTCTTTGGATCCATTAAGGCTTGTGGAGAAGGAATTTCTTTGGTGGGGGCATCCCGCATTATAATTCTAGATGTTCACCTCAATCCTTCTGTGACTCGCCAAGCTATAGGCCGTGCATTTCGTCCTGGCCAGAAGAAAAAAGTATACACATATAGGCTGGTCGCTGCTGATTCCCCTGAGGAGGAAGATCATACCACCTGCTTCAAGAAGGAATTAATTGCAAAAATGTGGTTTGAATGGACTGAGTACTGTGGTTACCGAGATTTTCAAGTAGAAACTGTTGATGTCAATGAGTGCGATGATCTTTTTTTGGACAGTCCACTATTAAGGGAAGACATAAGGGTCCTTTACAGGAGGTTGGTTCTCACATCACTCCCGTTCACATCTGTTTTCTTTGTTGGATACTAACTTCTTTTCTAATACTTTTCAGGTAGCTGCCGAGGGCACAGAACTGAACGGGTGAGTTGGTGACTTGGGCATAAGGTTACAGGGTTGGTTAACCCTGGGTAGGCACAGTATTGTCTTTCCTGACTTGCTGTAGCCATTTATCTTATAGATGTTTTCCTGGCTTTATGTGCTTCTGTGCTGAAAGCCAATTTAAGCGTCCTAGATGTTTTTAGAGACATGACGATCCCTTTCAGATGGTTCCTAGGCTGTTACTTTTTGCTTCCTCACGTGGGAGGGTTTTAAACTTGCATACCATCAGCAGCGCAGAAGTTTGTTGAGCAAACTTGATGCTCAAATGAGAGAATCAAAGTTTTGCTGATACTGTCACAGCCAGTTTTTCTCTCATTTGTAGAACCATGATGTGCCACGGATGCATGTCTGTACAGTGGAGCGGTGAAATTGAACTCTATAAAACTGTAAATTTGTACTTTCTGAAAATTTCTTGTTGGGAATGATGTTTCTAACCTCATATATAACCACTGCCTCATAAACCAAAAGGAACAAAGAATTACATCATCTGGCCTAATGCCAACCACATATTATAAGCCAATACCAAGGAATGAATTCTTTGTTAACAATCCCAGCGCATGGGTACATGGTAACAAACCAATTCCTACCTTTATTTCAAATCAGGAGTGTATTCCTTTTTGTAGCCCTTCAATACCCAGGGCTGAAACAAATTGTACATCTTCCCTTCAACACATTAAACAAAAATTATACATCTTTACAAATATGCGGACCTTCCAATCAATTTCTTATATGTTACAGCTGTGTTTTATATGTCTCCATGTTCAGAGGTTCTAAAATGCCATCCACACACAAGATGAATGATTCAAAAGGAGCTCTCCTGCTCCTCGTTGTTTTCTTTGTGTGAATGCAGACTTAACCGTGTAAAAATGCAACTCATACATTCATGCAACGAAATCATGAAACAGATGAGAGGAACTGAACCTGTCCTGCCGGTTCTCAGGATTTATGCATTCAAAATCTGCTGTTTCAGCTGCTATAGAAGATGATGGTTGGGCATTGTATATGTCATCCCCTCTCATGGCAACAAAACTGTGATGAGTTCCACCAGACATCGGTAGACTACTGCCCTCATAGTGCTGCAATCCTAATGTGAGAGATACACCACTTCCACTTCCATTCCCAAACCTCCCTAACTCAGACATATGGTAAGCAGCAGCAGCAGCTGCCATGAATCTGTCACCACTGCCATCAGAATGGGCAAGTGCTTCAGGTAAGCTGGTAGAGTCATCCATAGTCTGCCCTGCCCTCAGCTTTGCTAACCTGAATTCAGCTTCAGTTTCTGCGTGCGTGTTCTGGAAACTTGTCCCTGCGGTTGAACCTGCCATTTCTACCTCAGTAATGTTGTCGGACTTAGAATCAATCAATTGTCCAGTGCTACATCTTTCAGTTCCCGTTGAACTCCCACTTTGCTGCAGATCTTCACCTCTACTCGTATCCCCTTTTGTTGCTTTAGCTGCATTTTCAGATGAAGAGTTGGAGTCCATATCTGCATCGGCAAATTCTTCCTTGTACATGTCTTCAACCATAGGCTTCCATAGACGCACACGTGCATTTATAAACCAATTTGAGACCTGAGGAGACACAAACATGCAGAAACAAAACATCATGCAGTGATATTTTCTGAAACAAAAATAATAAAAGACAAGTGGCAGGCATCTTGAATTTATCATATTCCTCATTTTACAGGCGTAATGAAAATATTCCTCATATTTTCCTTGCAATTTCTCGAGAAGATAGCTGACGTTTTTTTTTTACCTGACTTCTAGTCAAGCCTGTTTGACGTGCTAGCATGATCTTATCAGAATCCTTTGGATAACTGGAATATAACAAAATCACAAGTGTAATGTAGTTGAAGGATTAAGAACTCTCCATGAGAAAGTAACAACACAGTCTTATGTTGAAGGACTTACGGGTGAAGAAAATGCTCAAACAGCCAAGCACGAAGAACTGAAACAGCATTTTCAGGCAATCCCCTTTGTGGCCTCCATGCATGTTGTTGTACCATACCAAGTTGCTGAAGTGCCCTCTGTTGCCTCAGGTGTTGATCAACATACCGCAAACGAGTAATTCCTACTCCTTTACCATTTTCAGAAGCATCTTGCTCTCCAAGGCGCTGGCGGGTTGCACGAATTTGGCCATTGATCATATCGCGCAAGCATCTGAAGTGACGTGATATGGTCTGTAGTGCAACTGCTGTGTATGGTTTTGCAGCCCCACATCCTGCTATGACATCAAATGATGATACCACAATCTGCATCTGATGATAATACTGCTTATACCTTCTATCTACCTACAATAATATATAACAATTATAAGACTAAAATCAAAAGATGAGCAATTACTAGAAGAAGAATTAGTTTCTTACAAGATTGAAAATTTTCTATAGATATTAATGTAATAAAGAAAAACAATGTTTCATTAAACCTTATATCAGAAGCAGGCAAATGCACGCACAATGCACACCATATTAAGTGTCAAGGTATAGAAATTACATAAGAGAAAATGTAGCTTGGAGAAGCAAGAGGAAACTACAATGAATTGGTTTTACTTCTTACCTCATCCAACATGGACAGCAGCTTTGTTAATTTGCCTTGCAATTCTTGTCTTTCAGCATGTGAGAGCTCGACCTGGGAGTTGTTACTGGATTCTTGTGGGTTTGAAGGCACATTTTTTGATCCCCCATCCCCTTCCTTAATGCTCTTCATTGGCTGTTCATGTGTACTTTGGTTTTTCTCTCCATCGGGCAGCTTTAGTGCCTTTCGAACATTAACAACTTCGTCAAGCAATTGTTGTGCAGCCTTAAGGTACCTGGAATTAGGAATGGTTCTTGAGACACTAGATGTTCCATACCCGGATAAATCCCCTTTATTTGGATCTTGGGCTCCTCCAGAGAAACCAGGTGGTAAATACTCAGCAAGTCTTGAACTTTCATCTCTAGGAGTGGCATTCCTGCTGCCACTCTCACCAGGAACTGTAGTTGGACTGAAGAATGAAGCAAAACCCGGATTTGGATTCCGATAGGGGATGGCAGGGAGTTGAATTCCGGAAGGAATTTGAGTGCCAAGGCTAAGGGACAATCCCTGACCGTGCAAGGTCTGTCCACTGTGAAGAATGGCAGCAGCAGGTCCACCCATGGGATGCATAATTAGCATCTCATTCCTCCCATCCCTCCAAGCACTGAAATCATGCTCCCCAACGCGTGATCCTCCGAAGTTTGGTAGAATTTCCTGCTGGTGCGAGGTTGAGTTTGAAGCTTCAACAGATTGAATTTCAATGCAGTTGCTTTGCAGCTGAGAATTTGAAGCAAATCCATCCGGGAATAAGCCAGAATTCATGTACATCATTGCATTGCCAGGAAGAACAGCCCCCTCCGGGTATGAAACAGGCAAAGGTTCCCTTATATAGACCATTGGGGCAGCATCTCTTTGATTACTTGAAGTAGCGTAATAAGTAGCCATGCTTTTCACTCTTGAAACTCCCTTATCCTCTTGTTCAAGTCAGATTCATAGTCCAGAAACTGAACAAAACCAAAAAAAATTATTAAACCAAAAAAAAAAAAAAAAATCAGCAATCACTATATCCATGCAGTCTAGATTTTTCTATATTTCTGATCTAATTTTCTGGATTATTACTAATACCAGAATTTTATAATTATTAAACAACTAATTCTTACATAATACAGCATGAAAATTCAAAGACAAAACACACATAATCAAACATGATATGGTGGACAAATAAGGAAGAAATGAAAAAACATGAAAAATTATTTATCAAATACCCAGTATATAGAAAAAGAAGAAGGAAGAAACAAGAGAAACCCTAAATTTGTTAATCCCAATAAAACGATTTCTCAAGTTCATCATCTTGTCCAGGCAGAGAGAAAAGGAGGAGAATGAAAATGAAGAGGAAAAAAAAAAAGAACAAGAAAATTTCTCTAGAAAAAAGATTGAAACATAAAAGTCAAAAGATCAGCAATAAAAAAATACCTGTAAACCAGTAACTGTTGTGGGTGATGTAGGGAACAGGAAATCTCAATAACAACACTCGATCCGCTGATGCAAAATCCTCACAAAACCATATACTTTCTGATGATCCCAAGAAGCAACTGTACTACAACAACAACAACAACACAAGTATCCTTAACCTTTCATCGAAAATTTCCACACCCGTCAACGAAAACGCATAAAAAATAAAGAAGAAATGAAAAAGAAACCTTTTTTCTTCATATCCCCAGACGATAATTCAAAGACCTATGAATTTTGAATTCCTTCACTTTTTTTTTTTTTTTTCTAATCATATATTCCATCCATCATTCCATCAAACCCCACGTGAGAGATGCATCCAACCCTCGCCCATACACTGCTATTCCTATCTTTCTTCTGTTTCTCTCTGTCTCTCTCCCCAAAAAAATGATGGCTTTAACTTTTTTGAAAAATTGTTTTCACTTTTTGAGCCTTGGCTTTTGCTTTTGGGGGGCTTTTACTTGAACTTCCCTCTTTTCTTGCTTCTTGTTTCAATTTCTCCTTCTTCTTCCTCCTCCGCTTCTTCTTCTTGTTCTTCCTCTTGGAAGTTTGGTTAAGGAGCTTCTATCCCTAACTACCAGTAGGTGGACCTAAAACCCTCTCTTAAACCTCCCCCTTTATCACCATCTCTTGATATCTCTCCCATCCTTGAGCTTGGAACCTCCTCTAGTTTTTCTTTTGCTGCATTATTATATATGAAAAGCATATTCTATTCCCATCTTTTGTTTGAAAAAAGAAATTTATCCTATTCTCTTGAGTATTTGGTGTATTCTTTTCTGATTTTTTAGTGTGAAAATGCTCACCATTAGCATTAGGTAATAGGTACCAATATCATTGCATTTGTCTTTTTCTTCTGTCCAATGTCTTTGTTTTGTTCACTGGGTCCTGTACTTTTCCAAATTTACATTTTCCACCCGTTTATTTTATTGTTATAGCTAAGGAGGTATGAAAAACTTGCTCCTTTTGCTTGTAGCCCAATGTCAGTTAGAGGGTGTTTGTTAAAATCTTAAAAATATTTATTGTAAAAATAAATTTTTAAGATTTTATTAGAAAAAAATTTAAGATTTGATTTTTAAAGTGATTTTTAAATAAATTTTAAGAAAATTACACATTTAAGTTTTATTAAAATTTGATTTAAACTTTAGAAGTTAATTTTTTAAATTTTAAAGATTTTTTTACATTTGACTGATTAAACGCGCATATCATTTTATTAAGGTACAGTTTTCTCCTCCTCCTCTTAGAATTAGATTCAAAACTTATGATACCTTATTGAAAAAAAATTTAAAGATTTTTATCATTAAAACAAATGATTTTCAAATTTTGTCAAACACCCATTATTAGTGTAATGACGTACGATGCACAGATTCAACCTCCTCAAGTAACAAAAAGAAATAGAAACTTGCACCTTTGGGTCTTGTCTTTTTTGATTTTACTTGGAAAAACCCTTTAAAAGGCTTGCTTTTTTCATGAAAACCCACTAATGAAATTCTACAATCTTTTCAATTTGTTGACCATCAAGGATGAACTAATATCACACCTTTTCTCCGTCCAAGAAATCAAGGGTCATTGTCTCTTTGAAGATGCAGAGTGAAAAAATGGACTTAATCCTCTTGCATTGGATGAAGATGATGATTGCGGGTCCTCTTTTTTGTATGGTTAAGGCTTTAAGATATTGCTAATGTGGACCCCAAGCAGCTGAAAATTCATATTGTGTGTGAAGAAATAAAATAATTAGGTGCTGATTTGGAAGACACAAAGCATGCATTGAATTAGGAGTTATGCATTAGTAACTACCAGGAAGAATTGCCCATTTTCATGTGGTTATTATTATATATAATAACTATTACTGTGAGTAT